AGTCTGTTTTCAGTGCACTTTTATGTGGTTTATGGTACTCGAACTATGTTCAACCAATATTTTTTATTGCTGCCTAACCTTTGCGCTTAAAACAGCTCTGAAGATAGTAGGAGGGGGGGAGAGCTACTTCAGTGTCTGTTTTTCCTCTCCATGGCAGAACTATATCAGTCCAAAAGCCTCCCGGAGGGCTCTGTCCACCAGGCTCTAAAGGAGCACAGAGCAGTAGCGTTTTCGAATTTACAAAAAAGGTGGTCTTGAAACACATCTGCCTAATAATTTACTTAACCAGCCCTAATGACCACTGTTGAGGCTGCATCTTGAAACTGGTAAAGAGAGACCTGTATTCGTGGCATGTGATGATGCCTCAGTGCCAGTGGTTTTTCCCCCTGTCTGCTAGAGGGCGCTGTGGCATAAATGTGTAACTTTTCACCCCTGTGTATAAGCGGCTGCCCCCTGTAGGCTCACAGTCTCAGCATGCTGGGAAGGGTCATTACTTTCACAAGAGCAAATCACTGGGGTAATCTTACGTGCAGCTTAAGGCGCGTCTGAGACACGCAGATGACTGGAGTTTCATTTTCAGTTGACTTTTATTGACGTTTCCAAGGACTAGTTAATGTTGTTCCACATTTGATGGATACAGGGGATTTATGAAGAAATTCTCAAACGACTGAAAAAAATTGCCCTTAGAAGTTTTGTTATTCAGGTGTTGAGACATGCTTTCTGGATGTCCTTGTCTCTGTGTGTGCCCTCTACAGGGTGAGCTTATGTGTCCAGGACATGCTGCTAGAAACCAAGCCTTCAATGTTTTATGGGCTGTTTACCCATGAGGCTGCTGTGGGGGGCTGAGCTCGGCCCTTAATCATTAATGCACCCCGGCCGCGATGTCCCTCTTACAGGAGAACATGGCACCATGTGCGTCTCCCCATCCTGAAAATTGCATTAGGATACACTAGGCCTGGCCAGAATTAAAGCAACACACAATACTGTGGTATCTTGGGTATACCATGGAGTTTTAAAATCTTGGCCGTAAAATTTGGCGGGGGGGGGGAGGGGTTTCATGACAAATTTTGTTTTGAAAGTCACACTTATTGTGCCTCTCGAAAGGATGTAGTTGACCACTACTTCTGGAGATATTGGATTTAATTTACCTTTTTAGAAAAAGATTGTATATTGAAACGAATGTGTTGTGTTGAAGGGTTTTTGCTTGAAGTATTAGTAATAGCATTAAAATTCAGTAGTAACAAAAAATTAGCAAGTCAGAATAATTGCATGTACATTCCCTAAGTGAGTCACAGTATGTGTCAGCTCAGGCAATGGGGTAATTGCAGTTATCTGCATAGTACAGTGGTACCTCAGTTCTCGAACTCATTAGAACTCAAATTTCTTAAAAGTCAAACCAACCAAACTCGATCTGAATCTCAGAAGTCAAACCGTGAACGCTGACCTAAGATAACTTGTACGCGCGGGGAAATGAGTCACGCGGTACGTCTCTCAGCGGAAACAAAGGGTAACGCTTCAGTCTCAGCCTCGCATTCACTGTGATAGCATCGTGCATGTTTACACTAGCTGAATACATATATTTATACCGTAAAAATACATTTAGACAATGAGACAGTAACAGTAATCATTATTATATAATAAAATACATTGTAAAATAAAGATTTCTTATTCATTAGTTTAATATTCATAATATACCATTAATACATTTAATTATAATAATATTGTCGTGCAGAGCGGGGACGGAACAGAGACAAAGGCGCAGACGTCAGGGTATCGGGGAATACGGGGTTTAATTACAGGTAAGGCAGGCAAAACGCAGATGGACAATACAATGACCAGACTGCGGAAACCAACTGAAACGTGGACGAAATACAGAGGACTAATGACAACAACCAGAAAAAGCTGATCACACGGGGATTCCACATGGGGTTAACGAGGGGTCGTGGCACCCGGAAGGAGCGGCCGAACGGGGCAGGACACATTGTTTTGTTTTTTTTTTTAACTTTACACATTGCATGGATGCATTTATTTTCTTACTTTACAAATGACTGTTTTGATAAATGTGCTTAGATGTGTTTAGTACAGTATGTTCAGAAGTACTGGTGATTGGTCCCAAGGCTGCAAGAAATAAGTTTCACCACCTCAGCATTAGTGGCCTTCCTACACAACCTAACACAGTGGTTAGAAATCTTGGTCTTCTAGTAGATTCAGATCTATGTTTTGATGCTCACATAAGAAGTATTACTAGACCTGCGTTTCATCATCTACGAAACATAGCCAAGCTTCGTAAGATGCTCTCACTTCGTGATGCAGAAAAATTAATACATGCCTTCGTAACTACCAGACTAGACTACTGTAATGCACTCCTTTC